AAAAAAAAAAAAATCCAACACTTTGCTAGAGATGCTGTAGATCTGCATCTGGTTGATTAAAGACAATCTCTAGCTGTCTAGAAATTCCATTATCTTTCAAACTCTTACAAAATGGGATTCTCATTAACTTAAATTATATGCAAACAATAGAAGCCGTAATAAAACAGTTTCAAACTGTCCTTAGGAGTAATAAATATTTATACCAGCAGATGCATTAAAACAAATAAAACTGAGGTCACAGGAAATGGAGCATTTATAGTAAACTGGTAATGATAACTCCAGCAGACGTGTCAAGCCTTAAATACTTCGTTATCTTTTACAATCTGTCAAACTAGAACAGGAAATGACGTGCTGTCATGTTTCAGTCACCAGCTTTATTCTGATGCATTCTCAGCTTTAAGATGAAAATGCTTGATTGCTTTCATTGTATTTTACCTTCTACTAATGATTTCACTTCACTTCTGGTAAATTTGAGTGATGAACTGCTTATGAGCAGCAGACAACCACTAGATATAAATGTCTCTTTACAGACAACTTCATAGATGCTCAGAAATATGTGAGCAAACAGAAATCTGACTTTTCTTTCACCTTCAGCAGAGATGCGAGCACATTGTTCTGCGGCTGTTAAAAGGCTCCTCCAAAGGACGTAATCTGAACTCCTGCGGTCGCTCAGACGCCGTGTTTTTAGAACCCCAGAGATAAAAAGACACTTTAATTTTGAAATTGTTGCATATTTGTTTCTCTTTCTCCGTTGAAGTGCAACATGTCAGCTCCTGCTGGTAATATCTTTATCTCTGCTTTGTTTTGGAACAGTGTCTCTCTCAAAGGACATAAACAACCGATTATGAGGGAGGAAAACGTTTCTTTTTTTTTTATTATTATGCAATGATAGTCTGGGGACTTTCCTTTGAGCAAAGCTGTCATCAAGGAGACAGGAAGTGAGCCAGAGGCGGGTGGACTGACAGACTAATAGGGATCCTGAAGCAGAACCATCCAAATAGGGGCCTGTAAAGATTTTTTAGTTCCTCCTCCAGTTGTTTCCGGTTCAGTTATAGAGCCTTTATGAATCAAATTGTTTGTTTTCCTTTCTTCCATCTGATTTTTTAATTTTCATCATCCTCCTTTTCCTTTTGTCTTTATGCACCTGCATTAGCAGTGAAAATCCAGTATAACCTGTGATTAAAAGGTCTAAACCCTGGAAACCGACTTCTTAGCCTACATCAACATCAGACTCCATAAAGAGATTAAAAACAGTGATATAAAGCGTTCATCTCAGGTCGGTTTTTTGCCTTTTATGTTTTTAAAAGCCACAGAGCTTCACTTTAAAAAATATGTAGGAAGATTTAAAACTTATTGCAATCTTAGTACTGGAAAGAAATTAGAAAATGGAATCAGGGTAACTATTGGATGTAGGAAGACATCCTCTATTACAATTTGATAGCAGTTAAGCTAGGAAACAGCTGCATTCAAGATCAACAGTTGGATATAAGAATATGACCTGAGGTCCATGCTTCCTTTAAAAAACACTTCAATATTTCACTCCTGTTAGATTTTTTTTCAACAGAAGATAGGAACTGGAAGATGACTGCAATAACAAGTTAAATAGATGGCATCTTCTCACCTTTAGTCAAGGGTCCGTCCAAGTGTCTCCAACTCGACGTATTTTTATGTGCTTAGGTCTTAGTTCTCAGAGCAGACAGGGCATTTTTAGCCATCTCTTGTTAAATTTCCTCTCGGCAACAGAAAGAGGAATCTTTCGACGTTCAAACACAGTCACTCTCTTAGTATGAAGTTGTTTTAAAGGGATTAACTTTTAATTCATGACAAAAATCCCATGAAAGTCACCTGTATTAGTAAAGGATTTGGACCAAATTTTGGATTTAGCCTCTTAGGAGAGAATATGTTATTATGAATGTTTGTTTTCAATTCAATTCAGTTTATTTCTATAGCACCAATCTTAACACATGTCATCTCAAGGCGCTTTCCAGTTCACCAGATCATACAGTCACATTTATTCAAAGTTTTCTGTCTAAGGAAAACCAGTTGATTGCATCGATTCATTGACTCGAAGGTAATCCCTCACACTAAGCATGCTTGTTGCGACAGTGGAGAGAAAAAACTCCCTTTTAACAGGAAGAAACCTCCAGCAGAACCAGGCTCAGTGTGAGCGGCCATTACTGTAAGAGTAAAGGCATCTGAATAAATGGACCCAACAGTCTGCAAAGGTAGATGATGTCATCCACAGAAAAGTAGTAGCGATAATACAGGCAACTATTTTTCTAATCCTTCAACAGAGAAAAAGTCCATAAAAGGCCTTTCTGTCAAACTATAAACAACAAATAACTTAAAAAATATATTGAACAGTAACAATATCCCCATTGAAAACTATAAAGTTAATAATCCAATCCAGTCCAATCCAACTTTATCTATATAGCACATTAAAACAAATCAATAGTTAGGTACAAAAGCAGAAATACCATAAAATGCACTAAGGATGAAAAATGTTAAAAGAACTAGAAAATATTTATAAGATAAATAAAACATAAAATCAACCAACATCCCTTTTAGTATTAAATGCTAGAGAGAAAAGATGAGACTTTAAAAATTGTCAAAGAGGAAGCATGACTGATATGGGGGGGTCAATACCATTTAAAGACCTAAAACAAAATAAAGGAATTTTAAAATGAATCGTAATATTAACTGGCAGCCAGTGAAGTGAACTTATAACTGGAGAGAAATGCTCAAACTTACGCGCCTCAGTTAAAAGTTGTTCAGCAGCATTTTGAACTGTCTGCAGACAGGAAATTTAAGACCCACTAACAACAAAATAAAGTGCATTACTGTAATCCAGCCGGGGGATCAGAAAAGTGTGGATCACTGTCTCAAAGTGTGCTTTTCTCAGCGTTTACTTTATTTTCACCAGCTGCTGCTGCTGCTGAAACAACCCCGATGTGACAACCTGTTGAGGTTAATTTAACTGTCTATTTTGAAGCCTACATTTGTGGCTTTACAAAGTGATCTAGATAGCCTAGATGTAAATGTATCACTTCCTTCTCTTTCTCATTAATATGTAAAAAGTTTAAAGCCATCCATGCTTTTACATTATTCTATCATTTCAAAGGAGATTCAACAGAGCTTGTTTGTTTTTTCCACCTCAGTTGGGCATAGATTTGACTTTTGTCTGCATAGAAGTGAAAAGAGACCCTATGCTTCCTAAGAATGGGTCCAAGTAGGACTGAGCCCTGAGGAACTCCATAAAGTCAGGTCTGAAATTGCATGA